ATGACTGAGATTTTACCATTAAAAAGATGAATTGTAAAAAAAATAGAAGATTAAGGATGTGTTGCAGATAAAGTTACATAACTTCTTAATCCTAACTTAACATTACAAGAATATTCGTACTCTTGATATGTTATATCGTTAAAACAATATCATAACGACTAATTATGCATAAACATAAACTCAATTGAATTTCTAACAAAAGAATATTCCACAAACGTGGTATAGCATTACTCACTTCCACAATGTAAAAACTTTTTCTATAATCTTATATGACCATCACTCACGTCGTCTAGAAATTAGAAGTGTGTTTACCGTTAATCACAAAGGTCAAACCCTAATTAGCCAATTGAAGCCAAAAGGCGATTTTAAATAAAATAAAATTCATAAAAAAAAAAACCCACACCAAAGTCAAAAACTCAACCAAAAAAAAATGCCATGCAAGTGTCGGTGGGGCTGCCGAGGAAGGGGAAGAAGAAAACATCAGACTCGAGTCATTGGCGGTGGTATTTATCCGACGAAGATATAGCGCCACAATTTTAATCAGAATTCAAAAAATTGATTGATTTATTTATATAAAAGCCCTGCACTTTCTCGGTGATTCTCCTAAAACCCCTCCTGTCCATTCCCTTCTTCCTCTCTCTCTCCTCTCCCCCCCCCTCTCTCTCTCTCTCTTCTCACTCTGACTCTCTTTAATTAGCACTTGAAGCTTCCATATATGACGCTAGCTTCGCTGTGAGCTCTTTCTCCGCATCGGATCTGGGGCTTCTTCGCTTTCTTTTGAAGGTTTCTACTTTCCCTTTTCCTCTTTTTCTTTAAATTGTGCATTTGTTTAGATCATTTCTTAAATTTTTGAGTTTTGGGTTTTCGAAAACAATGTTAAATTTCATGGCGATGCGTATTAAAGGGGGTCGAGTGCTCTAGTTTTGATGGGTTTTGCTTAATCTTTCATGTTCTAGTTTTGTTTGATCAGGTTTGTTTCAATTTGGCATTGCTTTTTGTGCTCTGAATTTGTTATACATTTTAGTAATTGTAAGCTGAAATATGCAATCACATTGAATAAAGTTGACTAATTTCTTGATTTTCTACACGTTTTGATGCACATTGCAATCGGGTTTTTTGTGGATTGTATTGGTTTTTGCTTGTATCGTTATTAATGGTTGAAGGGTTTTGTTGACTGACAGGAAGGGGAGGAAAAAAGAAGGGAGGCACTGTTGTTTATTGGTTGATTATTCTTTGGGAAAGCGGTGAGCCGTGTCAAACAAGTTAAATTGCATTCAATTAAGCTGTCTCCGATTTAATTGCAAGTTAAGTTCGAAAGTGCTGTGTATTTGAGGAAGCTAGATATATTTCTCATCAAGTTTCACCTGTGAATATAATATATATTGCAAAGAGGCCATTCCTTCTAAGTGGTTGACTCCAAAGATTCAAAATTTGGTTTTTTCCATTTGGGAGGGGTGTAACGTAGCTTTGATCATTTGGAGTCCGGGGAGGGAGGGAGTAATTAGCTGGAGTTTGGTTCGTTGTAATGGATCAAAAGAGTCCGAGGGAAAAGGACTTTGAAGTTGATCTTGAAAGTGCGGTGGTAGTTAGTGAAGAGGATTCAAGCGATAGCCCTGTTTTGTGTGCTAAGAAACAGGCAAAGACATTGATTGCTAAGGTTTGTGGCGGTCTGTTGGATGGAACAGTTAAAGTTGAAGATAGAACTGGTTTGTGTGGCAATGGATCCAACTCCAATGTAGTGTGCCCTGATAACTTGAAGGTGGCAACAAACAAGGTGCTGGAGGGGAATGAGTGCATAGATCATGTAGAGAAGACACGGGTGAAGGACAAGCGGAAGAAGACGAGCAATAAAAAGCCTCCTAAACCTCCCAGACCTCCAAGAGGTCCATCATTGGATGCGGCAGACCAGAAGTTAATCAAGGAACTCTCTGAGATTGCCATGTGGAAACGTGCAAGGATTGAGCGGATGAAAGCATTGAAGAAGATGAAAGCTGCTAAGGCGTCTTCCAATAGCGGCACATTTGCCATGCTGTTCACCATTCTCTTCTGTCTTGTGCTAATCTTTCAGGGTAATAATTCTTTTATTGAACTAGAGGTTATAGTTATTGAATCTGTGGTATTTGATAGTTCTTAACTCGTTTGTCTGTTGTTTTATGATTTTAAATGATTCCAAACTGTTTTGGTGAACTTGCGATGTGCGTATCACTTTTGCTTTATGTGATTGACAATTTCAAATTTGGGATCTCATTAATTCTTACTTTAACTTTTCTTTTGGTTGTTCCCAAAAGAATAAATGGGTTTACTTCTGAATAGCATGTTTTAGGTTTAAGGGAGACTCACGGGACAGTTCGTATTTGTTTCTTATTATAATTGAATATGTTTATTAAACTATGCTTACCTTCAATAAGTTTCTCAACACATATTGTTCACAGAGATCCCTAAAGTCCAAGACTTTTCATTCATCTTCCGTATTGGCATTCACATTCTATTGTCGTTTATATGCAGGAATTTCGTCTAGAAGAAGCTCACCTGTAAACATTAAGGGATCTCCATTGTCTGCTGGACGAACAGAGGGCAATTTGATCTCAGTTCAGTACTATCCAAATCTGTCATCAAAGGGACCTGGTTCTGCGTCCCCCAAGTATGTTAAATTCATTTTAGCTTTATAAATATCTTGTAAAAAATGCTTCTTATTTTTTTTTTTGGTTTTTATGGCATCTTCATGTATGGGAATAAACAACCGATATATATATACACTTTTCTAACTTGATGACCAATGTTGGTTTCACTGTCTGAAATAAAATGTTCCACTTTGATTGCACCTTGCAGTATCGTAGAGCAGGTTGCTGGTTTGGATCCGCCGGAGAAGCTGAAAAGATGGGCTGGGTGATATTACAATGTGGTTGCCTAGTCGTTGTTGAGGAACAAATTCCACATGCCTTTTGAATCCTCGTGCAAACAGTCGATGCTTGCACTTTTTTGTATGCATGATTACCGAAGCTGTTGATCCCCTGTATGTACAGAAATGGGGGAGAGCAAGAGACTCAGAGAGAGAAAGAGAGTGGTTACGGTACAATTTTTAGTGTTCTGTTGGTGATGTCAATGCCTACTGATAAGTTGCCTTCCTTGCAACTGGTTTGGCCTCTAATAAAGTTGTGGTAATTATACCACTAGAAAATCATCCAAATCTGCTCCTTCTTCATTTCAAATGCTGTATAAGTTTGGCTGAAATTGGAAGTGAGATGTTATTCGCGTTCGATATCGCTGGGTTTTGTATCCAAAGCTGCAAATGTTTCCTGTATGAATGGAATGCCATAAATGTAGGATGGAGACGTCAATTTTGCTTCTTTGAGGTATGCTTTGTTCATGTGTGGATTAGGCGAGTTGGACACGCCAGCGTGCCTCTTTTTGCACCCAAATGCGAATCCCTTTATTGTTCGGTATTTTTAGTAAGGGAAATATTGTGCAAACTTGGCAATAGAAGACCCCATTTGAGTGGAAGGGCTTGCATACACCGTCATTGACATTCCGGCCAATAATACAATGTTTTGTGTTGCGTTCTATTCCGGCGTTTAGGTTAATAATGCAGTGTCACATGTTGCATTTCTTAGGGTGCATGCAGCATGCTAAATAGAAAGTGCTTCTGGCATCCTCATTCAAGGCATCCTCATTTCATTTTTCTTTTGATGGATGTGCTTCTGGCCAGGGTGTGCTTTTAAGTTTAACATGCTTTGAGGCATTGGTGCCATACATAACATGTGATTTCACATGGTGTTGCCTTCTTCTTGCAGTCAAGCGGCTCTCAGTTATATTTGCTCCGTGAGATTCCAGAGCCTTCGCCTCCACTACAAATCTACGAATAGTTGTAACTAAATAGAAAGGGTCCGTTTGACCAACAAAAAAAAAGGAAGGGTCCCAGTTGATCACAAGATACCATTTTCCTTCACATGTATACAGTAACCAAATCTTTTAATTTGGAAATCTTTCAAATGATAGAACATGTCTACACGCAAATCACATAAGATTGTAAAGGTTGTGGCCAATGTTGATCGAGATAAGTAGAAAATTAAGCCATGATTTACAAGAGCGTTTACTTTTTCACCTGATGTTTGAATTCTCGATACTTTAATATCGACCATGTCACGGATTAACAAAAGTGAGCAAAAGTTCTATTGCCTCTACCATTCTCTGTGTATCTTTCTTTTTGCGTATGGCATTGCCACTTGTGTTGGCATCATCTACTAACTTAATTTGAAAACCATATTTCAATTGTTGCCTCTAAAGTGACAATGAAAATTTTAATTTCACTTTCTAGCAAGATATTGCCCGCTTTGAATCTATCTATTAAGAAGTCTTCAAGCTCAAAACACACCTAATACGGATATGGGGGTTTGCACATATAAGAGCATCTCCAACTATACTAGCTAAATTTTTGTTGACGTAGCTAGTTAGATGACCCAAATGTTAATTTGGCTAGCCGCCACTTCCAACAATATTAGCTATTTAGCTTAAGTTAAAATTTTATTTTATCTAAACTTAACAACCCAAGTCCTTTTTCTTCTCTTGAAGCCAACAAATAATGCAATTTTATGGTTTTTACTGTTTAGCAAAAAAATTAGCTTTCTCTCTCCTCCTCGCTAAATTTAGCTATTTATTATTCACTAAGTTAAACTAGTTAGTCATTTACCTGGCCAATTGGAGCATTATTTTTCTGCATTTTTTGTTGAAGTAACCAAAAATCTCGTTTAGCTAGGCTGCTAGAGATGCTATAAGACACTTTCTTTTCCTCACTCGGGCGATGTAATATTCAGCACCTGATAGCCTGCCAGTGTCCTCGCATCTGACTGCATAGGGTCACCATGGAAAACTTGATCTGGCCCAAGCCAATCCCAAACCTACCCTTCAAAACAGTTAAAACAAGGTGCATCTCCTCATCTTAGGGAGAGAGGGGATGTGAGAGGAGAGATTCCAAGTCCCCCCTCTTATACCACAAAGGAACATGAAGAGAACAAACCTTAATTTCAGTGGCTGAAACAGCTGCTACAAGTACAAGTATCTAAAGCCAAAAAAGCTGAAAACTTTCACAAATAAAAACTACAGAAGAAAAGCAACATCACACAATACTCACTAACTATAATACTAGAGAGGTGATTTCCGCACTCTTTCTCCTTCTGCACACTCCTTTTTATTGTTGGCCTTTGAATTGAGCAAATCAAAGAAGACATACAGAAAACCAAATTGTGCAAAAGGAGAAAATGAACGTGCGGTTATCATTTTCCTAATAATAAGATAGGGAAAAATCAACCCTTTAATAAGTTGAGAATGGCGACAGCCACACCAGAAAGATCATTCACAAGAGCATTCCTATCAGTGAGAGGAGACTCAACTCCTCCAAAACCCTTCTCACATGCCTCAGCCTCCTTTGCAGCATCAGAAATCCCATACTTTGCAAACCCAAAGTGCCCATTTCGCAAAGCTTCAATTGCCTGCGGCAGGCTAAACTTCACAATTGGGATGTACAGCTCAGCACAGTTTGCCAATGCCTTCTGTAAATGTACTTCCGGGGATTGCTTCAGCAGGCCGTGGATGTAGTCCAGTGTGTCACTTGCATTTGCCAGGAGAGCGTCGGATGCTATCAGGGCCAATCCCGGCACATCTGCGTTTGAGCTGTCGGGGTTTGATTGGAGGGTTGAGAGGCAGAGATTATAGTGGGGTGTTTTTTTGCATGTTGTTTGTATCAGATCACTGCCTTTGGCTAATGGAAGAAAAAAAAATTGGGTTGTTGGCGGTGCAATGAGTAAAGCAACGTGGAGAAAAAGAAGAAGAGTTGAGAATCTTGAGAGTGAGCTACTCATTTTCTGAGATGGGAAGAGAAACTTTGTTGGGATTGTTTGATCTGATTCTTTTGGCAGTTAATTTATACTCATGTTTCAAATTCATGGATTGGCAGATTGATTGCCACTTATTACCACTGTGTTCACTAATTGTAGGCGCTTTTTGTAATCATGTGCTATGAGTTTCAATTGCGTCTACATTTCGTGTTGGTTCACAAGTCTAAATATTTTGGATACCATTCTGGTGTTGCCAACCATTTTCAAGATAAACTTATCTACATCTGAAATGTTACTGAGACGGTATATGAAGTCAATCACAAACAAATATGTATTTTTAACTTTGTTCCGTAATAGTGCACCATTGATTTGAAATACTATTACCGCGATATTTCAGAAGAAGTTATTCTTCCTTTTTGATGCTCAAGTAACGAGAAAATTGGAGGAATATTCAATATGATTCAGTTATTAGCACCATTTTAATTTCCTCAAATTTTGGCCTCTATAGTAAAATTGGGAACAAATTGCAAAACAACATGCAGAAAAACCAGAAACCAGAAACCAGAAACAAAAGTTCAAAAAGAGTAGATGTGGTAGGTCTTCTTGTCTCGATGCATATGCAAGGGCATAAAGATGGAGAGATTCTCTTTTGCAGAAGACCCTTATGTGAGCATTATTGTGCCACGTGTACAACAAATTACATCAGCACTAAAGGGTTTCTTGGACGTGAAATCACAGTAAACTCACTTCGTCGCTGATTTAGTATCATATATTTTCCCAACTTCAAAAGTATGTTAACTACTATTATCAATGCTTTGCAAGTCCGAGTGATGCAGATTCTTTTTGCATGATGTCTGTTTTTCATGTAAAAGTATATTAATAATTTGTGGAATATTTTTTTTGATGATCCATTGATGTCTATTCTATAGTTGGATTAGTTAAAGTAATAGAACATATGTCCGTTCTTTAATAAACTCAATTCATCAGTATCATATATTTTTACAGTTTAAAAGCATGTTCTAACCAATGTATTTTTCATGTAGGCATAACAAATCCACGTTGAAAGAGGCATGTTGAGAGCATCCCACATCAAAGAATGGAAGTCTAGCATAAGAGCCTAAACTTGTTGGGATATTCAACTCGTTGCCACTTGAGTTTTAATTGGATGCTCACATTCTAACATAAAGTTATGTGTTTAGAAAATTGTATTTGGCACAACTGAATAATTCCATTGATTTGTCAATGATATGTACAAGAGTTTTCCTTTGAACAATAAGAAATCCGATAATGTAGGAATAATAATATAGTAGATACATAATCAGTTGCATAAAAACTTCCTAACTAAGAACATTGACTTTCTAACAATTTGCATGCCCTGGAATGCAATTTTGGTTATCAAATTAATATGTAATGAGAGGTATAAAAAAGCGAAGAAGGAGGCGGAGAAAGTTGTGGCAACTCGTCCCTAATTTTAAGTTTTATAAATTTTAAATTAGTGATTTTATGAAAATACCCCTTTGAGGCAAAGATTTTGAGCTTCGTTGACCATGGGTTAGAGAGACGTGGAATGTATTTTTTTTTTAGCATAACCTTGTAGTACTCGTCACTATGAACGTATAGACGAAAGCCGTTTGCGAGTCCGAATTATAACGATATAGTTACAGACGTTTGAAATTGGTTATTTAAAGTTTAGTTATAAATTAATTCAAACTTCCCACCATGTGGGAGTGGTAACCAATCAGTTTTAAGGGAAGAAAGGAGTGACCAATCAAAAAATTTAGAAAAGAAGTCAACCAATTAGGAGAGGGGAGATAAGCCTCAGCTCTTCCTTCCCGTGAACGTGCACACCAAACTCGATGGGGATCCAAGTTGTTCCGGCCAAATTCCACCATTTTTCAAGCAATTTGCATCCATTCTCCACCTGTAACTTCTTCCTCAACCTCTCTTCTTCCATCTCCACCAAAGATCAAGGGTTTTTAAGGCCTAAACCGTGAGGAACTACACCGGAGCACCGGAGGTGCATGACGGTGATTCCCCCAATCCGGTGAGTTCCACCACCTAAAACTACCCTTAATCAACTTCCCTTTAACCCAGGAACAAGACCCAACCAGTGGTAGAGATGTTGGAACACCGAGGAAGGAGAATCGAAGTTCACCCATTTTAGGGTTCTAGCGGGTTTGAGTGAAATTGGAGCCTTTCCAGGCCAAATTGGACTTGGCCACATGTATAAAACTTGCTCTACTCTTGGAGATCTTCATTTCTATAGAATTTGAGAATTTTTGGAGATAGTTAAATTTTCCGGCGAATCGGGAGGCTGGCCGCTGTGTGCAGCGGCGCATGAGCCGAGTCACCCCCTGATCTTCCTAAGCTAAGTTTGACACCCCAATTCCATGTGTGAAGTATGATTGATGAAATCTTATCGTTTGAATATAGTTTTGTTAAAGACTGCTGCTTGAACATTATGTGAATTGACGATCCGACCATTTGATCGTCACCAAACTTTAATACATTATAGTATGTAATATTTGAGGATATTAGAAACTTAAGAATTGGGAATCTGACGTACGAATCTTCCCAAAGTAGATTTGTAAGTTTGTAAAATAAAACGTTGACTGCCACTTGAATAAGCAATTGGCGGAGATCCAACCGTTGGATCGTAATGAAACTTTAGTATGATGTTCTAGAAGTATAATGTGTATCTTTAGAAGTTACAGATCGGAAATCCGAGATGTAGATCTTCTAGATTGAGTTATTTAGAGTTGTGGACCCTACCGTTGATCTTTGACCGACTGTTGACTTTTGGTCAATGGGTCTCAAATCATTCTAGAATCAATGTCCTTAGGATGCATTTTATGTAAGTTATGTGTTATATTGATAAGAGTTCTGAGATGTGATTGAATATTTGTTTTAGGTGATGATCGTTCGTGACGTCTCGATATTCGTGCTAGGGAGTCATAGCTCGGATCTCTGGTGAATGGGTCTTTTCCTTTTTATCGTATATATATAACTGATAGTTTCACAAACGTTTTTAAATTGATTTATGCATTTTATGCCAATAGCAATTCCCTTTATATATTCTAAAATACTATGATATGGTTGAGTTTTAGATTGCATCATGGCATATCCATATGCATATTACCTATATATAATTGTTGTGAATCCTTTGAAGTGCTAAGGTGAACGCGTGACGTGCAGGTAAGTTCAGGTGAGTTTATGGTGTTATCTGAAATGGTTGAGATATGGTATGACTATATTTGTGTTTTAATAATAGGCAACTCCGACACTGTCGTACAAGTTGCAATACTAGGCAACTTCGACACTGTCGTACAGGTTGCAATACTAGACAACTCCGACATTGTCGTACAGGTTGCAATAGGTAACTCTGACACTGTCGTACAAGTTGCCTATAAGTCGTACAGGTTGCATTAGACAACTCCGACTCATGTGTTATCATAGATTGATTTATGAGTCATACAGGTTGCGTTAGGCAACTCCGACTCGTGTGTTATCATAGATTGATAAGCACCTGATTTTTTTTATGCTGATGCCGATATGTAGTGATTTGGAATATTTCTGGATTTACTGTTGATTTGCATTTGATTTCATACTTATACGTAGTATGATTTCTTGGAAATTATACAGGTATTACAACGAGGGATTATAACATTTAGAAGGTTTTTATTAAAGCGTTATTTTCAGGCTCACCCACTCTTGTTTTTTTTTTATCCCTCCAGGTTCTAGTAGTAGAGTTTTCGTATCGACGAGGATTCGTGGCAAATCTTGGTATTAGAGATTACCTTCGATGGTATGATTTTCAATCCACTCTACTGTACTTTATTTATGCTCTGACGTCACGTGTGAAATGAGTTCATTTCTGCTCACAGCGCACTCTCGTATTTAGGCACTCTTATGTTTAAATTTATTCATATATTCCACGTTACTATACTTTATGACTTTGTCACCTTCCAGGTGTCGGCCAACACAACTCGATTCGAAGTCCTAGTGGACAATCCAGGTCGGGATGTGTCAAAGTCGTGAGAAAAGGGGAAGAAAACCTGCAATGGAGCAATATTGGAAGAAGGGCAACTTGAATGAGAAGTATGATCAATGTTTGAGATCTGAAACTCGTCATCTTCGGGAGCAGGAAAAAGGGTTTGCGAGAATTTGGGCTGATGTTTTTGCTCGAGATATATCAATGAGTTCTACACATAAAATGCAAAGGTTTGAGTCCCATTATAGATAGGGAGTGTGAGACTTGTTGGCTATTTATTTTGTACAGCTGGTGCAATGCAAATATTGGCAGAAAAAAAAAACAGAAAAGAAAAATAGCAGGCTTCCAAATTCTTGCTGCTGGCAAATACTGTATATGAACCATGCCTTAACATGGTTCAAAACAGTAAAGAAATTGCCATCGAGTATAGGTTTCTCGATTTAGTCATATATATATGATATTGTGGAATATACTATCTAAGCAAACTTGACAGGAGAGAAACTTACCTTTTCCTGCATGGCAGTGCGTTTGGTTTGGGATAGGAGAAGCTTCAGAGAGATGTCAATTACAAAATTTTAAAAGATTTGATGCCTGCGAAGCGACTTAACAAAAAAATACTTAATTCCACCCGGAATGTCAAGCTTCTTATTATTTCGTCATTACTTTAAAAGCAAGCGTTGTTGAATGTGAATTTGAACAGAAAATAAATAAGCCAGATTATCTTAGCTCTCTTTTTTGGTCAGAAAGAAAGTTTCAGTATAATAAGAAGGGAAATTACACACAACACAAAAAGCCCAAGCAAAAGCAGAATTATAGAAGAGAAAACAACATTAAATTTAAGAGGGAAGATTAATTTATTAAAAAAAATTGAGAGTGTATGTATATTCATAATGGCCATACATCTCCTAAGTACTCTTCCGCTGCGTAACATCAACTCATAAACAAAAAGTGCTACTAATATAAAGGCTAATAATTTCCATCAAAATTCTTCTTAAACTAGTTTTTCCTTGACCTTCACGGCAACTTATCTGCGATTGCTGCAGCTATACTTGCAGCATCATGAACATCTTTATTGACATCTTTGAGAGGGTTAGAGAGCCCTGAAAATTGCTTGTCACACAAGTCAACCTCAAACGTAATGTCCTTCAACCGGTCTTCTGCAGTAATATTATCATCATTACTGAAAGCTTCGGAGGCTTGAGGAATATCATCATCTATGATAGTGTT